CGTTGGAGCTGTCAAAACAACACATGCCACCAAGTAAAAGTTGTCTGAGACTAATCAGTTCCCGAAAAGAGGGAGTAAATATCACAGATTATCAGTGAATATGCAGGCAAAGAACCAACAAGGCCACCTTCATCAGTCCCAGAGATAAATGAAGGACAGGGCAGGTCCTTTTACAACAGTGACATGAACCAGGAAGTGAACTCTGCTCTGGCTGCATAGAACTACATATTCTACTTTTTCACAGACATCAAGTTGGTGCCACCCAAGGCCATATGGTAGCCCATCACCTTCCTGAACAGTAGATGAGGTGTGAGGAAGGAAATATTTAAGATGAAATCCCAGAAGGGGCTCATCTAGGAAGTACAATCATCTTGTACAAAATGTCTTTGAACACTTTCCAGAGAGAGTAGAGATCACAATAACTCCAAAAGTTTTGCTCTTTGCTAGAGAAAGGTTTTAAAAAAGGCCTTCGGGTAGGCAGGCAGGCAGACAGACAGATGGACGGATGGGTAATTGTTCAAAACTACTTTAGAACCCATGGACACTCATGAACACAGAGGCAGGGCCCTTCAGACTGATTCCACTTTAGGAGGTCTCAAGTTATCGGGGACCCTGGGAAAAGAAGCAGCTGTAGGTCACAGTCACCTCCTCCCACTGTCTCCTCCTTTTCTATGTTCATTTCTGGTTTTGCCTTTGTTATGATTTTCCAAATCAATGGAGTAGAGAGGAATAGCACCCTAGCTCAAGAGGAGAGAGGCAGAAACCTGACCTCTTAAGGTCCCTGCTAACTCTTCAAGTCCACAGGACATATTCTGAGACGTGACTATTGAGGATTAAAAAGTACCCCTTCTGTATACGGCACTGTAATAAAGTAACAATAATGATAAAGGCGCCTTGCTTCTAGCGCCTTATACCTTGCTTAAAGTGCTTTAATGACTCTAATGGAGTGAGGCATCCCTGTGAGATCAAAGGCAGATATCATCATTTCCAGTCGACATAATAGAAAATCAAGGAAGAAAGGTTAAGTGACTTGACCAAGCCTCACTCATCAATACAATGATGTTCTGATAACAGTTAAGGGGCTACAACCCCCCCCCCAGGCTGTCTACACAGCGGTTCAGCTCAACTTGGAGTCTAACAAAACATCTCTCTTGATGGTGGGCTGGGGGAGTGACACTGGCTTCAGAGAAAGAAATCCACTTAAACATCTTCTCAGCAACAAACAGTTTCCCAAAATGTCAGCACACAATCTGATTTCTGTGCAGGAAAAAACCTCCTTTCTCTGCACCGTTATAATCCATACTCCCAAAGACCATGAAACAAATCACCTTGGTTTGAAGATCAAGATTTGATGTAAAGTTTTAAAAATATTCAAAATTTGAAGTATAGGAGAGAGAAAGGGGAATCCAGCCTTCAATTCTTCTGCCTACTAGTTAACAGGAGGAAACTGCAGTCCATTGCTTCCGAAGGATAAAAATCTAACCTTCCTCTATTCTTTTTTCTACATCTGGTAAACATAACTACAACACACCCCGCTAAAGAATGTTCAAGTACCAGGTCGCAAAAGGCAAGAAGATGATCTTTAAGCAAGGCTCAGTGTTAGCAAAAGGAAAATCTGGACATGCATTGATCTTACTAATATCTGTGTCTACCATGCCCTCCCTCAGGAAAAACTGATCCCTCCCACACTGAAAGACAAAGGAATAACCCTAACAAAGTCTCTATCACTCATTTAGTTAAGCTATCAAGTATGTGATGAGAATTAAGATCACAACTGGGACTGGTTCCCAATAAAAGTTAACCTTGCTCTCTCTCCCACCCACACAAGAGTAATTCTGTTTAGAAACCTTTCATTTTTTGGCACCACCCCATTCTTGGGGTGTGTAGTTCAGTCCCTGCCAGTAATTGCTTCCATATAATACCGTGTTTTCAAACAAATATGTTTGCATATTTCTGATGATGCATAACATTTATATTGCATTTAAAACTCCAGTTGGGCACAAAGATTTACTTTGTATCAAAAAAACCCTAAAACAACAATAACAACAAAAACAAAAACATCTTATCACGATGTACCAATGTGAACACCAAAGAAAAAACTGACTTCAAGCCTCAATATTTACCCTTACAAATGCTTTGAAATTATTTGGAAATACAAACTCATCCATCTAGGAAGTAACTCAACCTAAAAATCTGTGACAAAATATATGAACATATATCCTGTCACATACCCAAATTACTATTACTCAGATCCACATGCCATAGACTAGCTAATTATCCTTTTGCTCAAGGTAATTTCACTGACCCCTTTAAAAGGCCCACTTGAACATAACACAAATAAAAAACTAACATAGTAATTGCAGCTCATATTTCATTCCTCAAAATTATAAATAAAACATTATACCTAATTCACCACAGAAATACACATGCTAACACTTTATTAACCTATATATAATACCTCTAAAAATAAAAACATAAATTCTCCTTCTGTACAACAAAAATCATTTTTGTTTTCTTTTTTAACAAAAATAATTTTTAAGATTTTTTTATCAATATAGTTTGAATCTTTTATGTTCACAAACGTCTACATGGTAAAGGCTTGGTGACCAACTTATAGTGTCACTGTGAGGGGCCAGAATGCTTGGGAGGTGGGACCTAGTGGGAGAACATGGAGTCACTGGTGTGTCCTTTGAGGGTATTGGAATCTCAGCTTCTTCTTGTCTCTCTTTACTTCCTGGCACCGTGAGGTAAACTGACCTCTTCTACTGCATAATATGTACTGGGCCACCACAGGCCCAAAGCAACAAAGCCACGTGACCATGGACTAAAAGTGTGAGCCCAAAGAAACACTTCCTTTAGTATTAGTAACTCAGATGTTTTAGGGGGTCTTATTTCTTTGATTGTGTTTTTTTTTTCAAGACAGGGCTTCTGTGTAACCCTGGCTGTCCTGGAACTCGATATGTAAACCAGGCTGGCCTCAAACTCTCAGAGATTCCCCTGCCTCTGCCTCCCAAGTGCTGGGATTAAAGGTGTGCACCACCACTGCCTGGCTTGCTTTAGATGTCTGTTAGGGTAGCAGAATGCTCTGCATAACTGAATGATTTCCTAACTGTGTCGATTCTGTCTTTTCAAAGAATCAAATGTCAAAGACAGAACTCAATATCCTTCTCTATCCAAAAGGATGAGCACAAACGAAGACAAGGAGGTGGGAGGAGAGGAGGACAGGAGAGGGGAAGAGGGAGAGGAGGACAGGAGAGGGGGAGAGGGAGAGGAGGACAGGAGAGGGGAAGAGGGAGAGGAGGACAGGTGGGAGGAGGAGAGGAGGACAGGTTGGGGAGAGGACAGGTGGGAGGAGAGGGGGACAGGGAGGAGGAGAGGGGGACAGGTGGGAGGAGAGGGGGACAGGGAGGAGGAGAGGGGGACAGGGAGGAGGAGAGGGGGACAGGTTGGGGAGAGGACAGATGGGAGGAGAGGGGGACAGGGGGAGGAGAGGGGGACAGGGAGGAGGAGAGGGGGACAGGTGGGAGGAGAGGGGGACAGGGAGGAGAGGGTGGAGGAGGACAGGTGACTAGGTAGTGGAAGGAGGGTAGGTGGCAGTTGGGTGAGGAGGAAATAGTAGGAAGAGGAGGGAAGTGGAGGGGAGGGGAGAGAGAGAGCTATGTCTGTCTCAGGAAGCCTAAGAATCTCTGACACTAGGAGTTCTAGTAGGTGACATACTCAATCTCAGCTCTTGGTTAAAGAAAGGTAACGACTCTTTGTAATTAAAGAAGAGAGGAAGCAGCAAAGGATTCACTTTCTACTACTCAACTTCTACCATACATGCATTCTCCACCAAAAGCAAAGGGGTCCAGATCCTTTGGAAGGATTTATGTACCTAATATGGTAAACACATAATAAACAGGCAAACTTTAAGAAAAAACTGAAAGTAATCAGAAATTTTCTAGTGTCACAATGTGATTTCATGAATTAAAAATGTAGTTCGACTTGATTCTGAGTAAGAGCTCTATCATACAATCCTAATTTTCTCAAAATATACAAATAAAATTTTACATATATCCTGCAGCAAAACCCAATTCATAAAATGAATACAACTCAAAATTGGCTTTCTATCCAGAAATGGCAATGGAATTAATATTATTAAATCTGTTATTAAGTTATTAACATTAGTCATTATCTAAAACGAATGAACCAAGCCTTCCAAAAGAAATCCTTGATTTACAAAACAACTAAAGCTGAGGTCTCAGGTACTGAAATTCACAGTCACAGAATCACCACCTGGCCCTCCATAGCCAGACTCTAAACCCCCAAGTCTTCTAGTGAGGGAACAGATTTTCCTCCATGGGCTATAATCACTCAGGGATGAGCTCTAATTAAATCCAGGCAATGAAAACTTTCTGTTAAACGCAGTGTATCGAGTCAAAGTCTCCCTCTTTAGCACAGAAGAGCATATTCAGAACTTCTCAGTGTCCTGTTAGGTCTACATATTAGCAGAGATGTAAACGATATCACTTTTCACCCTTAGCCGTGAATTTCTGCACTTTTTAGTGCTTTCTGTCCCAACTTTAATGTTCTTTTAATGTAGTCTTTCCTGTGTGATCTATCACATTTATCTCCATAGCAATCCATCACTATTTTCTTTAATTGAGGTTAATTTCTTTCAACTTGGGCGAAGATGGGAGGGATGAGGGATTCTCATCTGTGGCTCAGAACGCGGAGGGCATCACAGCTGCTGGCTTCCTCATGGAGGAACTTGATTTTCAGGATGCATGAATTCCTCCAGCCAACCCCACTGCCCTCCAATCTGGACCTAAGTCAACAATCTACAGGGATGGGAACTCAGTTCCCACCCAGAACCACTTAATGAAAAATTTCTATCTAGCTAGAATCCCTCCAGCTGCAACCCAAGTCCGTTTGTTTGTTTTTACTTAAATAGCTAACAGCTGGCACCACCTTCCATGTAAAATCATTCCGTGTGTTTGGAAAGAGTGATTAACTCATACCTTGCTCTTCGAATCTGCAGGCCAGAAAAAGCAGATCATTTGTGGGTGCTTTTAAACATTTTCTACTTGTTCCTCTGGGCTCAAGTCCTGTTGGAGTTTGGAATCATTAAATTATCAGAAATAAGTGAAATTCAGTACCATAATGAGAGGGAGAATGTTACTTTGCTCACCTTAAAGTCAAATGTAAAGTTTAGGGCGAGTTCTAACAGAAGGCTGGCTGAAGGCTGTTCTTACACAAATTTGAATTGGTTAGAAACAATCTCCCATCCAGTTTTATGGGATAAGTTGAGCTCAGCCAGAGAGAAGAGACCTCCCAACTATAACTGAGAAGCTTAATAATGTTATAAAGCACGGTTATATAGAGACAAAAGTTGGGCAAACAGTTTTGTGTTGGCATGCTGATATTTGACAACCCACATTTTATGGCATGGCTTACTTCAGCATTTCCTCGTGATACAGACTTCAATCCCAGGAACAGTCTGGGTTCTCTTCTTTGCTTGCTTACAGATGGGCTGAATCCAGAGCCTGCACGTTCCTGGGACAATCCTGCCATGGTCCAGGACTGATGGTCCTCTCTGCCAATGAGTCACTCCTACTCTCTCCACCTACAGCAGTAGTAGCTATTCCATTTTCTCTAAGCACTCAGTACTTGATACACAATAGACCTGCAGTGAGTATTAACTCCAGAAAAAGTTACGGGTGCAAGAGAATCCTCTCAGTTTAGTCAGTCCTTGGTGATGGAGGTAAAATATTATAGAACAATGCAACAGACTCAAAGGACAATACATAGTAAGGGGCCTGGGAAGACCCAAAGTGGGCTAATAAAGTAGGACTGAGGAGCAGGATTTATTTATAGGTCAGAGATTAATGCTCAGCATCGAAGTCACTGTAGAGGAAACAGACTGACTACTCAGGTGGGGACAAATAAGAAAATGGGGAGGGAACATGAAAACGCAATACTCTACCAAGAAGCAAAAAGTTCACTATTGTTCATAGATAACCGAAAGCCAGAATTTGCTGTTTTAATGTTTTGTGGAATTTCTCAAGAACATTCCAGTTTAAATGGCATTATAAGCCCCCATAAGACTGGCTTACCCAGCTTTAACAGCTTTCAGCACACTGGTCAACTTAGTTCTGCCTTCTGGAATTTCCCTAATCTAGTCTACACTTATCTGTCCCTGGACATTTTAAGAGTAAGTCCCATACATAGCATCATGAACAAATACTTTGGTGGCTATCCAAAAATTGTTCAGGTCTTACATGACCAGACCTGTATGTTAGTATCATTAGTTCAACAACAGAGATAAAAACAAGGCAGTCCATAAAAACACGCCAAAAAGTAGCAAGGACGATAGGTAAATAAGGAGAAATGCCAAGGGATCTTCTCCAAAAGACCTTCCTGACCCAAAGATGTTAAAAAATGCAAAGGAAGGAGGCTGAGTTTAGGTAAGACAATGGAGATATTTAACAAGAAACAGAAATGGCAAGGAGTGGAGAGTTGAGGATAAGTGTTTAGTCTGAAGTGTATCTAGTTTAACCCACCATCTGAACATGGAGGTAGAATGACTAAAATGCTAAGCCCGCAGGTAGAGGAGAAGACGACAGAGTAAGACCACATTAGCACAATACACATTTGATAGAAGATCTGCCTAAGATAGCAAAAGTTCAAAGAGGGGTTTAAGAAATGGAAGTATTGCATACACAAACGATTATAATATTGAAATTAATTACTTAGAGGAAAACTTATCCAAAGACAGGTAAAACTTGAAATAGTGAGCATGACATTAAGATGGGAAGGAGGCATTCCACTGAGTTCAGAACTCAGAAGGGCAGGAAGAAGAGAGAAAGAAACACAAGTGGTACGGTAACAAGAAAGAACCAACTGGGAGAAGAACTATTTTCCATACACCAGATGTGGAGAGCAATGAAACAGTGAGTGTGCGCGCTCTGTATACCAGCAATACAGAGGGAAGCAAGGAGACTTGCTTTAATCGTTACCAGCAGGGCCCTGGAAAATCTAATACCAATTAATGCTACATCGAAAACGTGAAGTCAAAATTACTGGGACTTTCATGCATTGTAGACATGCATTGCAAAATTAAATCACTGTGCTGTTTGTCCCGACATGCCCACAAATCCGAAAGCTTCACAAGGATAAGACTGTCTGTCTGTGTCACTGAAGTAGTGGAAGTTCTAGCATAGATCTGGGATAAACCATGTGCCTGAGAAATAACACATTTTCAGAGACAGTGTCTTTTTTAAAAAACAATTTTAGATTTGTTTTACTTCATGTGTATGAAAGTTTCGCCTCCTGTATGTGTGTGCAGCACATACATGCCTAGTGTCTAAGGAGGTCAGAAGAGAGAATCAGATGCCCTGGAACTGGAATTATGGAAGGCTGGGAGCCCCCATGTGGGTGCTAGAAACCAAACCCTGATCTGTAAGCACAGCCAGTGCTCTTAACTGCTGAAACATTTCTCCAGCCCCAGAGATATTATCTTAATTACACTTCGCACCAAGTTGGAGAAGAGGAATTATTCTCCGCATTGTACTGGTATGCATGACACCACCACTCAGGAAAGGAGTAAGAGTCAAGGACCCACAGGTGGTGAGGTGAGGGGATGGACCCCAAAATCTGGAAAGGAATTACTACAAAGGCCTGAAAGTCGAGAGGAAAGGAGGGCCCTGAGAAAAGCGGTATAATCTAGTGGTATAATGTAGAGGGAACATAGACTTGGGCACAAGCGCTTGCAGGGATCTGACATTAGCGCCCCTACCTCTTACTCAGTTTCCTCCATAAAAAACAGAGAAGGAGAGGGGCAGTTATAGCACACGCCTTTAATCCCAGCACTCAGAAGGCAGAGGCAGACCAATCTGAGTTTGAAGCCAGCCTGGACTACATAGTAAGTGCCAGGACAGCCAGAGCTTCACAGGGAAACCTTGCTTCAAAAAAAAAAAAAAAAAAAAAAAAGGGAGGGAGGAGGGAGAGAGGGAGGAAGGCAAGATATCTAACTCACCAGCTTAAGGTGTAAATATCAAATTATGAGGCCAGAATGTGTGACACACAAAAAGCACTTTTATAAAGATGGAGGTTTATCATGATTACAATTCATCTGTCATCCCAAGAAATCCCTGTGATGCTCACAATGGTAAGCTCAGTAAGAGCTCTGCAGTAAGCAAGGTCCTATAGAGGGCAGGAAACCAACAAAGACTCCATGAGGAGGGTCCACAAGGTACTATCTACATTGTACGTGTCCACTCAATGACTTACTCTATCCAAAACGGAGCAGCAGGCCCAGCTAGAAACCAAAAGACCACCTTTTCCTGATGCATTAAAGCCAAAGGCTCCCTGAGAACCTGATGACGTGATCCAGACATTAAATGTGGGAGACTTCTCACCTCAGGGTACTGGGATGTGGAGAGTAGATGCCTACCCACAGACACCTTATGATCGGGGTTAAATCTTCCAGTTTGCCCTACTGAGCCAGCCAACAAAAAAGGTGGGTATGGTAAACCTCTTCTCAGATTACACTGACCTTAGAAACATAAGATGCTTGAAAAATATCACTGGCAATCAAACTTATTTCCAAATTATTGCTATTAAATAATGGTATCACCAACACAAATGAACATGGTCTGTGGTTTAATATCCCAATTCTAAAGGGAACCTGGGAAAGGAAGGGATCCAAAATAAAACTGTTCCTTATGAATTCCCAGGCAACCTTCTCTAAGGAAGTAGTTTGCCTGCATGACCATCCCCTAGTTCACCCTAAAAGTTCTTTGTCTTCCAAATCTCATCCTAATTTGTTGCTCAGTAGCTTCGTGAAAGGCAACTTAATCTTGAGTGGAATGTGTTCTCTGTCCCCAAGGCCGAAAAGTGGCTTTGAGTGTAACAGGTGTGAAAAAAGGTATCAATTTGGTGAGACTGATAGACTTATGAGCCTCTATACTTGCACAAGGCTTTCAACACAAGCTACTTCAAAAGTAATAAATCTTTCATCAGACTGTGTAAGGCATTGTGCTCCAAGATATGAGAGATCAAAACTGAAGCCTTAATGCCTGGCATTCCGGAAGTTCATTAAATACTGCCATTTGGCACCCAAGGTTTAATTTTAAAATGTGTGTTCATTTTGTCCCTAGAGATAGCTACAAATACAGGCAGAAAATGTGTCACAGTCAGCTTGCCTAGCATATCCTGCATGAATAGTCAGCAAAAAAGCTAAGACGTTTACCATTTTTAAAAGCCCACCAACAGCAATACATGAACTATAATGACAAGACAAAGGCTCACTCCAAAGGACATTCAACTTGATAAAGGTGACACTATTCATAGTTACACCTCTACTGTGAACATTTTTCTCACGATAGAATGTATTTAACACTTCCTCCAATGCACCCTAGGAATTCATCTCTCGCTAACTGACAGATAAACTCCACCAAGAATATTAAGGCCACATTTATTGCCCTCATCACCCAAATGTTCTATTAAGAGGCAAAGTTTTCCAACATGAAAATATTTAGCCAGCACAATTTTTGGATAAAGAAGTATCTTTGCCACTGGAGGTGGAGGCTGGAAAGATGGCAGGGACTAGAAATGGAAAAAGGATTTTTAAATCCCTGTTGTATTATCTACCAGATGTAAGTGAATAATAACTAATATGTCTGCAGCCTCAGCCTTAATCTTAAAACAAATGATAGTATTCAAATATAATATTTCACACATGCAGGCTGATAACAGGTTTCTCCCTTTCTTATATCTTGAAGATTCTGTGGGCGACACAATACAAAGCACAATGTATTTAATGAAAGGTTTCCAGGCTGATTTCCCTACAGGTTCTTTTCTGTCTTTTCTCTGGAACCCACACACAGGGTATACTGCAGGGAATGAGGGTATATATAAAAATAAACTATGTGCTAGTATCAGAGCTGATACCCTTCTCCTACAGGGGCAAGTGAATTATTAGATCTGTGTCATGAGTGTTTTTTTTTAATATGCCATTGTTCCCACTTGAGCACATTAAATTTTCCATATCCACTTTTAAACCAATATAACCTTTTTTTCCTTGTTCATAATGTTCAAGCTGTACATTAACAGGAAGAAAATCCAATAGTGGAAGTCATCATATAGTAGTTATATGTAAAGCTTAGTGGAAGGACACCTTCTGTATGCCCCACCCCCCACTGAATGGATACTATATGGAGTTGGCTCACTCGAGGGGGTAGTATGCCTCTTGGGAAGCTGTACTAATATTTTTTTCTTCTATGATTGATCACAAATCCATTTTTAGCATTATACATTTTTAAAATTTATTATAACTCAGGTCCAACATCTTCTAGTCCAACAAATTGAAGGTGCTGGAATCTTTTGGTCTGGAAGATGTGTTTGCCAATTATTTTTGCACTAGTGCACATAAACAGGGAAGACTGGATCTTAGGTATGAGTTATACATTCCTGTACAAAATAATTGTATATTCTATGAAGACTGATTCCTTTTCTGGAGAAATATACAACAACACAAGGGAAATCTTGTACCAGCAGCATAACTGGAGTGGAAGATACAATATTAGAAAAACAGGGCTACTTTCATTACGGTGATGCTGTGTGTCAGAATGTCTCTCCTTAATGAACCTGTTTGCAATAAGACTCCGGGTGCAAAGAGGCTATTTAGAGAGACTATTGTGTCTATAGCAAGTCCTTCAAATATCTTCCCACCATTAGACATGCCGCACTGACCAATTCTGTCCTGATTGCTCTTCTTTTTACTATCAAGGGACATTCTTGCCCAGACAGACGGATGGATCAGACACTGCAGTTCATAAAATGTTTACACTGTAACACACACACACACACACACAGCCCACTATAATACAAGCTATTGAGCTCTGTATCACACAGTGAGTTGAATATGACAGTGTCATATGAAAGCCTGTAACTTTACAGTATCAATGAAAGGATTTAGTAACACAGTGCTTGCCTGTGTCTCTCAACAAAAAGCCTTGCCTAATACCCTCACTTTTGGAAAATACCCACACCCATGGCTCACAAGGGGACATAGCCCACAAACCAAACCTTTTCTATGTCATACATATTTCTCATTCTATTGAGATTTGGCTTCTAAATGCTGACAGGAAAACAGGACTATATATGCCATGCCATGAAAACAGGGTGAGGGGAAGCACACTAGCAATATAAGAACAGTAGAAAAGCCTTCCTAAAAAGGCTTTAAATTCCAGTTCCCAGTGACAGCCTCGGAGAACAAGGGGCTTGCCTCTACAGCAACTGAGGGACCTTTTGCTAAATCAGCAGCCTTGTTACCAAGTCTAACTAGCAGACCCACGGGTGCCTGGAGGACACTTGCTCTCATCTCTGTGCCTTCTCATCAGCAGCTTTCCTGTTTCAGCCTCACCCTTCACAAAGCTACATACCAACTCATTATCTACAACAGCCTCTTTCTCCTGTGATTTCTGAACACTACATACTTCCTATTCAAAAACAAGTAATGTGTGTGGCAGTCAGCTGTAGTCTTTATATTCCACTCTCCCAGCTGTTGAATGGAAGTTCACACCCAAAGTCCAAATTGCTACTTCTCTAGGAAGTCTAGCAGCTACAGGATCTGATAAGGAACTGCACACTGAATGAACCTCAATCCAATGAACGAAAGGCATCTAAAAAGAGATTCAGCTTAATGTTTTAAGATTTCTCTCTTACCTTCTTTTCTGGGCTCAAACACATCCCACAAGCAAACTTGACATATAGACAGTAAACTGTTTCATAGCTCTAATTTCCATTGGTATGTGGACTAGATTTGATTTCACTATGTATTTTCTCATCCACATTTTAAATCCCATTCATGATAAAAACTTTACAATAATGCTATTTAAACTGCCCCCAAGGAAGCTGGGGAGTCTGCTCAGCAGTTAAGAGCAATGGCTGCACTTCCAGAGAAAGTGGGCTCAATTCCCAGCACCTACACAGCAGCTCACAACTATCTGTATCTCCAGTTCTATGGTATCTGACATTCTCTCCTGGCCTCTATGGGTACCAGGCATGCACATGGTACACAGATATACATGCAGGCCATGCAACACCCATACATATAAAAATAAATGACTAAAATTAAAAAACAATTTGAATTTTTATTAAAATACAGAAGGCATTTAAATGAGGATAACTGTATAAACTGCCTAAAAATACTAAGTGCCTGCCTGAAGCATTAGGAACAAAACCATATGGCAATCACTCCTTCTTGAAAAAAAACAAACAAATCCCAGGAGTGTAAGAAATGAAAAGGCACCTGTCTTTGGTCAAGTAATCCAAGATGTTAAAGTAAGACT